TGTGCTGTTGTCTCTGTGTATATGATTTTGGCACCGTTTTACTCACCATGTCTGCTTCTTGTGTGCTCTGCTTTATTGTTACTTCCTGGTTGTGTGACGTGTTGTAATATATGTTGTGAAACAAGTCCACGTCTCAGGTGCTCTATGAGAAATCAGGCATCACAGTCAGCAGACTGAACTCGCTGTCTGCAGCTCACAGGTGGATGATGTCATGGTTTCTCTGTGTATGTGCGTGAGAATGTAAGTCTGCGAGAGCCATATGTGACGCATAGTGTGTGTGTGTGTGTGTGTGTGTGTGGTGTTGCTGGGTGAAAAGCTCTATAGTTAGGTCCCTCCCTCCCCATCTCCAGGTTACCATGGGGACAGAAGGTAACTGTGTGTGTGTGTGTGTGTGTGTGTGTTAGTGTATAGCTATCATGAGCTGTGAATTGCTAGCTTTTCGTTGCACACTGCAGTGGGATAAACAGCGAAGTGAGCCAGTCAGCCTCAGCCTCTCTCTCTCTCCGTGGCTTGTTTTTTGCTGTTTCCTCCTTCAGTCCCTCCTTCCTCTCTCTCTGGTAGGACAGAGCGTTTCAAGTCATGACGGAGAGCTGAAAGCTGATGAATGAAACTCCTGGAACAACAGGCAAAAAGGCCCCGGGCATCCAGATCAGATCATTATCTGTGTGTGTGTTTGTGTGTGTGTGTAATTTTTGCTGTGTCTGTGTTACCTTTATCTGTGTGTGCTCGTTTGTGTTTCAATTTTAGCTGTTAATATCTGTGTTTGCTCTAATTTGTGTTTTGTTTTGACTGGTTGTTTCCTGTCTGATATCAATCAAGATATACTGCATGGGTTTCCTGAATCATATGAACGAATATGATTTTGGCTTCTTGTTTATGGTTTACCATCATGGGTGTTCTCTGTGTATATAGACTGTATATAAAAGATGGATAACAGGGAGAAGCCTGAATTTTTTCAAAACATCGACCTCTGCTTGTCACAAACCCTCGCTTGTGACATCTGATTATAAAATGCCAAAATGGTGATGATGAAAACAGTCATCTTAAAGCTTTGATACAGGACTG